CGAATAGAAAGAACGCACTAGAAAACGGTTTAATTAATTTTCAGTTGAAACTCCTCCGCATTTCTCAATTATCCTTCCGCTCATCATTTCTCTCATGGAACGCGCAAATGCAATTTCATTAATTAATACTCCAAATGTTCTTATCTCCGCAGTTTGGATCATCTCGCTTTTCGTGTACAAAACACAACACACATGCACTCGGCATTGTGTGTTGTGTTGTGTTTCGCAAAACAATCGCGCACTAATTAAAATCGCATCCCGCCACTGCCAAATGTATTCTACGTCGTTCCTAATGATCGTACGTATTTCACGATTCTCTTCACAAAGTTTTTCAACCAAAGAACTATCATTTAAGATATTTAATAAATTTAATTAAATTTTAAGTTACATTTAATATATTTTTTTTGAAATTACTAATAAATATTTAATAGATAAATAAAATTATAAATTATCCCATAAAAGCAGAGAAATTATTATCGAATGCGTAATAAAATCGTTGAACAGGAAATACACACATTGGAGGTCATTGGATTCTGTGAATGAAAGAGTCACTGAACAATATACATTCAGTTTCTTGTAAAACGGATTATTAAGGTTATAATTAACAATTATGTTATGAAATTATAATTTTATTTTGAACAAAATTTCTGTACACGTTTTGATTTGATTTGATGTGAACGGACAATTAGGTTTTATCTAATATTGTTTTCTTTCTATTTTATTCGTCGTTCGGTCCACTTGATTCAGACTATCGCAGATTGGCATTTCATTTTATTTTCAGCGTACTTCTTTTTATTTTACGTGTTCAATTTTTATCGCTCTAAGAGATTACGTGATTTATGGCACTGTTTTGCATTCGGCTTTCGTGTTTCCAATCTCAATTCCACGGTCACATTTCTATTAAAGAAAATATATATTTTGACTTCAAAACTTTACAAAGTTTAATATAATATACATTTAGAAGAAGTAAAAAATGATTATTTAACAAAATTATATCTGACTAAGTGTAAAGTTATTTATACTATAATATAATAATTAAGTTTTGTAGGTTTAAATAAAAAAAAATGTTTATAATAATTTGTTAGGAATCATTTTGAATACCGTTGAAATTTATTTAGTTTTTATTTATTTTGTTATTAAAATTAATTAGAAATCATAGAATGTTATAAAGTAACAAATTTAATAATGACATAATTATTTCTAAACAGTTTGTGTAAATTATTTAAAAAAATAATTTTTTGTCTTCTTTTTAGAAATTGTTGTAAAATAAATTGAAAAATTGTTAAAACGATTAAAAAAAATAATTTACTACTGATGCTATTAAAAGTTTTGCTGTTAAAATAGGTAGAAAAGTTATTTTATTTTGGGAACATAGGTAAGGAGGTGTGAATTTATTTCCCGAAATTAATGCGGGTAATCAATGATTTCACACGTGCCATACGCAGAGGAAGGATAATTAGCGTTTCCGAGAAATCCGATTCTTCGCCTAATTACTTATGGACAGGTAGAAAAGCAACAGAAAAAAAAAACGTAGAAAGAGAGCCGTAGGCTACGGCATACACGGGTTATCGTGTGCACTTTGTAGCTTGTTGTTATTATATAAATTCGTTTGAACGAGAAAACCAACGTCGCCTATAAATAAATGTTTTATTGGTCGTTAAAATTGAGATGTTCCAATCTCGTCTGTGTACTGTTATAGTTGTATATTATATATGCAATTACACGCGTATTTGCCAAAGTCGACGTCTAATCTGTTCCGACTAATAAGGATTATCTTTATGCATCCGTTATTAATTAATTTAAACGATACCAACAACAGTTTAAAATTGTTTCCGATCTACTCGGATTTAATTGTATAAGGGGTTGGTATAAAATTTCATATTTCTTTGCGTTGGTATTGCATGTCTGAGCACATGTATTCAAAGGATTTATAGCCATTTAATGAAATCTTCCGGGGCGCATTTAAATAATTCATACATTCCTCAAGGCTCGTCATCAGTTCCATCGTAAACAGTCCGAATGAGGAGGAAGAAGAAGAAAAAAAATACATCCATATGTGTATGTCTATGTGCGTGCCATCTATCATCCGATACGTTCTGTCAAACTTACCTATTATCCCCATGACTTTCACGATCAATCTTCAAAAATGCACCGCGCTCCGTTGCTGCATGCTGGAACAGAAACTGAATCAAAAAACAATATTCAACTTGGACTACCCCAGGGGGTGGCGCAAAGTATATGCTCGGTCTCAATTACTCCAACAACATTGAACTAATGCTCACTCTTAATCTAACTTCTTCACGTACGATTAT